TTAGCTACTTGAAACTTGCACTTTACTATACTTAAATTGAACTGGCTAGAAAACTGCATACCGAGAATTTTTCTAAAAATTCTGAATAAAAATTTTGATGGAAATTTTCTTAAGTTTGATTCATTTTTATGAATCTTGTATAAAGTTTGCAAAAATGATTTATATGGTTTTTGTTATAGAATAAGCAATATTTTAAATGAAAATTAACGAAAAAGATTTATGATGGAAAACATTTGGAATATTGTGAAAGAACTAAATAATACTTCTGTGAGTGACTGTATGTAAGTGTGTATGTACGTGTGCAAAACCGGCGTCGAAACGAAAGCTTACACCTCTTTCATGTGACATCCATATTGTGGTCCATAGTGGACTTTTTAAATAGGTAGCAACCTTCCTACATGTAGTTTACAAACGAATTCTTTTCAAAACCATTTCGATGGATACCCATATTAAATATTTTGAATTTAACTATTTAAACAGGTGGTAACGCTCTTCGAAATATTTTCAAACTACAATCTTCTTAGACCACTTTCGTCAGAAACCCAAATTTGCTACATATGTATTTCAATTATCCAAACTCCTTCAAAGAAGTTGAAATTAGAGCTTTTAAATAGGTGGAAACCCTCCTAAATATAGTTTAGAAATAAAGCCTCTTCAAAACCATTTCGATTGATACCCGTATTATAATAATTAGTTAAAATTAAACGCAAATCAAGAAACTGTTATAATTACAATGTGGCTATTCACACCTGCATAGTCATTTTATATTCAGCTTATAACAATAAAATACACTGAAGAATAACAAGACATACCACCCTAAATCGGACTATTGAATTGAACAGAAAGAGATTCTATAACTGAAAATTACTATTAGTTTAAGCGATTTTTACAATTTTATACAATGTTCGGATATACAACTGAACGGCGCAATTTCGAAATTTAATTTAGCTTAATTTATGATACCAAAGCTGAATTAATAAATTGCTCAATTAGTTTTCGCGCTTCTGTGTATTAACTGGACAAGCGTGTGGTTGTTGCTAGCGCTACATCAAATACAAAGAAGAGTGAATTCGCCTAATATAACTGCCATAAAAACGGAAAGCTTTAGCAAGATTAGATCTCTAAAACAGCAGCCCTCCGTCGGGAAAGCCTCGAGTATGAAGAACCGACTGCTTTGGGAATGAGGATACGCCAACTGCTGAACCTGACCAACTATACATACTTATGTATGTATATACTTAGATAGTATATTATAGACAGGCCTTGAAGGGCGTTCTTCGGGAATCAGTCAACACATGCGTCAACTCTCGAATCTTGAATACCATCATCGTGAGCTAGAGACTTGAAGCTTGAATCCGATGACAATGCAATCTGAAAGATGATTTGATCCGTTAGGTGGCGCAGGAGTCAAGATATTTGAAAAACCCGTGTTTAAGGTTAGATTTGTTTCATATTTGGAACGTGTATTACTTAAATGGGAAGAAATAACTACACAAAAGATTGAGCCGTTAGGTGGTGCGGGGTTGATTTTTTTATTGTTTTTAAATACATTGCTTTTAAATATTGTTCCGCAATTGGAAATTTTGCAGTATTTACATATATATATGCTTGTAGATATAAAATTTATAATTTCCGTTCTTTTTCAAAATAAAGCAATTATTTAGGTAGAATTTTTTGATTCTGGTTTATACATAAGCTAGATGAAAACACGGTTTATGCGATTGTTTGTTAAATACGGTTTACTCGGTGTTCGAAAATCAAGACTTCAAAAAGCTGCCTATCAAAAAATCAAAAAACAAAACCGATTGAAACCGGACGCGAAAACCCGAGTCAATCATACTACTTACCTTACCTTAATATAGAAAGGCCCCATCTCTAACGTCATCTGAAATGCAAAAGGCCGTAACTTTCGAACAATTCCAAATTTCACTTCATGATTGATTATGATGCATTTCATGGAAATATAGGTCCTCGCATCGCTCTATGCAATAAACAATCTTAGTTAGTTACAGCTTTTTTGTATTTCAGCGACGATATGAGATAGGGCCTTTCTATATTAAAGTAACGATATGTTGTATGAATTTTATTTCACAACGCTTGATGGAAATTCGTTTAAAAAAATAAGATTTTTAAACATATTATTATAGAAACTTTCAAGAACAAATACAAACAGTGGCGAAAATATAAATTGGAACGCGATATTTTAACAAGTCGTGGCTATTTTTTATATATTTTTTATTTAATTTAATTTTTATTAATAAACCCTAACAAACAAAACCAACTTTGTACAGAAAATTAGAAAAATTCGACAACGTTTCATCAAAATTTCAAGCTTTTTTATTAGATTTTTTGATAAAATGTTTGTAGCCCGTTAAATTGTAGTACAATAAAGTGTAAGTTTCAAGTAGCTAACTCCTACCGTTGATTTTTGGATTTTTTTTTTCGTTGAAGATGTTGCTCATTTCCTCCATAAAAAACATTATCGAACATACTTTGTATGAGAAAAAATCCGTAACACCGCCAACAAAAAATATACTAAATATTGTCAAAAATCAGCGGTATTTGGTAGCCACAAATAAAACCACTAAACTAATTAAGTCTCGCCTCACTTATTACAAGTGTACATACATAATTTCAAGTTTGTTCATGTGTATGTATGCACATTAGGGTGGTCCAAAAATGCATATGAAAAAGTTAAGTCGGAATTTTTATGCTCTCACCCCCTAGGATTGTTATTTTTTTATTTTGAAATCAAATAATATTTAGAGGTCGCTCAATGCGCCCAAAGTTTTCCATGTATTTTATATGGGGAAAAAACAACTTTTCGTAGAAATGGTATAGAATAGTTAAAAATCAATATTTTTCTACCAGGAAACTCGGCTTATCTGCATAATAATACCCAATTGTTTATTTAACCATTTTTCTTTGCAACTATAATTTATAGGTCCGCTAAAAACCCACAAAAACCCCGAAAATGCAATGGGCGACCATTAAAAAATCGTTGTTAATAAAATAGTTAAATAATAGTTAAATAAACAATTGGGTGTTATTATTGCAAGTCTCCTGAAGAGAACCAGAGTTTTCCGATCTAAAAATATTGACTTTCAAGAATTCTATACCCTTTCTACGAAAAAATTTATTTGTCCCATATAAAAATACATGGAAAACTTTGAGCGCTTTGAGCGACCTCTGAATTTCTTTTGATTTCAAAATAAAAAATAGGGGTATACTCTTTTTCGTTATAGAACAATCCTAGGTGGTGAGAGCATTACAATTCCGACTTTACTGTTTTTGGATCACCCTAATGCACATACTACATACCCTGCACGAAATGTATCTAACTACATTTAAGATGAAGTTATTGTATATTTTCTTTGACGAAAGCTAACTATAGTTGTATGGCGATGGCCGCGAAATTGTCAACTAACTAGTAACTAACTAGTTTTGAACATAAAATATCAAGAACAACTAAAAAAATAAATTTTTAAATTTTTATTATTTGATTATTAATTTACTTTATTTAACACTACATATTTGATTACATATTCTGCTGCAGGTGGTCCCATACTCGAATTCCGTCAGAAACAATGTCAAAATAATAATATAAAATATCGAGCTTCATTTTATTTGTCCTTAATTCGAAAAAAGTATTTGTGAAGTGCAAAAAAAGTATATACAAAGAAAAATTTATATGAGGATATTTAAATACATATAAATTTGTTTAAAGAAAACCAACTCCCGACGCATCTGCATGACTCCAGCATGACTTTACAACCCACTTTAAGTTAGTTTGTCATAGCTAATTAAAAGTGAGCTATTCCCGCAAAAAGGCTAACTACAAGTTGGGGTTTTTTTTTATTAACTAACTGATAATTTCTTTCTGCAGGGTATGTGTCTTTGTATGCACACACCTCTACTCTACTAACTAACTAGTAACTAACTAGTTTTGAACATAAAATATCAAAAACAACCAAAAAAATAAATTTTTAAATTTTTATTATTTGATTATTAATTTACTTTATTTAACACTACATATTTGATTACATATTCTGCTGCAGGTGGTCCCATACTCGAATTCCGTCAGAAACAATGTCAAAATAATAATATAAAATATCGAGCTTCATTTTATTTGTCCTTAATTCGAAAAAAGTATTTGTGAAGTGCAAAAAAAGTATATACAAAGAAAAATTTATATGAGGATATTTAAATACATATAAATTTGTTTAAAGAAAACCAACTCCCGACGCATCTGCATGACTCCAGCATGACTTTACAACCCACTTTAAGTTAGTTTGTCATAGCTAATTAAAAGTGAGCTATTCCCGCAAAAAGGCTAACTACAAGTTGGGGTTTTTTTTTATTAACTAACTGATAATTTCTTTCTGCAGGGTATGTGTCTTTGTATGCACACACCTCTACTCTACTAACTAACTAGTAACTAACTAGTTTTGAACATAAAATATCAAAAACAACCAAAAAAATAAATTTTTAAATTTTTATTATTTGATTATTAATTTACTTTATTTAACACTACATATTTGATTACATATTCTGCTGCAGGTGGTCCCATACTCGAATTCCGTCAGAAACAATGTCAAAATAATAATATAAAATATCGAGCTTCATTTTATTTGTCCTTAATTCGAAAAAAGTATTTGTGAAGTGCAAAAAAAGTATATACAAAGAAAAATTTATATGAGGATATTTAAATACATATAAATTTGTTTAAAGAAAACCAACTCCCGACGCATCTGCATGACTCCAGCATGACTTTACAACTCACTTTAAGTTAGTTTGTCATAGCTAGTTAAAAGTGAGCTATTCCCGCAAAAAGGCTAACTACAAGTTGGGGTTTTTTTTTATTAACTAACTGATAATTTCTTTCTGCAGGGTATGTGTCTTTGTATGCACACACCTCTACTCTTTCCAACCCAAGCGTCTGATTCTTAACACGCAATTCAGACCCTTGCAGCGCCATTCAATTCTAACTTCCAACTTACATCTTGATTTTTTTCTTTGTTCGCTCAATATCAAATTTGCAGCTACGTAGAAAGAAAAGTAAATTCTCGTAGTCACTAATTGCATTCACATTAGGATTCTCCTTTAGCCACTGTGAGATATGCTGTATTTGTACGTGAACCTTCTCGGGCTCCGTGTCACAGGTGCCCACTTTCCTCGAACCGTGCAACATTTTATATAAAAATTTTCAATGGAAATTTATTTTCAGCCATTTATCTAAATTTTCTAATTGCAATGCAGTTTTTCGTGTGAATTCTGCGAATTGGACTTTGCTTTACTTTTTTTCACAGAAATAACTGAAGCACACAACAAACACGCCCAAGACGGCGAGTGTTGTCGATTTGGCGGTACACCCAACCGTTTACCGAGCAGCGTTAAAAAGAATCGGTCTTGTCAAGATGAACGATCGCGCAAAACTGTGCCAACCGATATGCAATTGCAGTCGCAGAAGCTATGGGGTTCTGCTGATGTCTCGCTTGCCGGTGTTAACATTGTTTACGTTTTCTTTTTGTCGTCGCAGTCGTTTCGATTCCGAGAATCATTGCATTCAATTGTCAGCAGATTAGTGTGGGGCAAGCAGTAGAACAGCGCTGCTGGTTGGGGCTGCATTTTGAGCGTCGCTGCGTCAAGGCGCCAACATTGACTACCCAACAAACACTGGAAAAAATTTTCCAACGTTTGAGAAAATCGTATTTCTCAGTTTGATTTTCAGCATTGTTTATCATTTGAAACTAAACATTTTCTGAAATTTTTCTCAAACATTGTTTATCAATTTAAGAACGGGTTGAGAAACATTTGAGAAAAAATGTGTTCGTGTAGTATACCTAGTGAAACTAGTACGCCTGTCTTCAGTTCACAACTTCACTTTATTCAGCCCTATTCTGCATTTCGAATGAATTTTCTCGATTTCTGTGTTTTCGCGAGCGGTAATACGGGCAATGCGAAAAATTGGCTCAAATAATGGCAACCAAAAGGGATATTGCGCGACGATTTCAAAGTGGAAGTCCAGGCGTTTTTGTTTACATTATCTATAAATAAGACTGTGAAATGCACTGAATACAATCTATTCTTTTTATATAAAATTAATTGATGTATGCACATAGATACATGCATATATAAAATGTGAAGTTAGATAATAAATATGCTTTTATTATTGCACTCGTTTTTACTAACTTTTTAAAAAGAGGTGCGTATGTTGTCTCGAATTCGATTTGCTATGGAAATATAAGCTTTGTTCTTCCCCTCCTCCTGACGGCTTTCAAAATGGGATTCATTTGCGTTCAAATCTTCCACTCTGTAGTAAATGCAAATGTTGTGGAGTGCTCAAACAACGTTTATAATTTCACTGACTTTAATCGATGAGTAATACAGTTCAAGATGAAATCCTTATGACTCTTCACTCATCTGAAAAAGATCAAACATGTCCCTAAATCTCCGCCTTTCAACTTCCGCATCAGCAATCTGGGACTCGTTCTTCTCTTCAAGCAATAACGCCGCGGCTATGGATTTCTTTCTTATAATTATGTATCCACTTAAATTTTATTTTTAAATTACAGTGATGCTAGGTATATTTAGTTATTTTAAAATATTTACAAACTTTAACTTCATATGCTGCTATAGTTTGGTGGCAAATATTTCTTTGTTTTGTTTCGATTTCACACATTCCTAGGCAAACANACGTAATCGAAATGCAGAATAGGGCTGATGGACTTCCTGTTTAAATACATATATGTACATATAAGTTTCCATTTTTACATATATGGCGACCTAAAATCTATTAGAAACTGCTAGCCTTGTATCGGAGAAAATTTTCATGTCGGTTAAGTAAGTATATAAAGTTGAAAGAATACGAAAATAATAATACGAAAAGTCTTAAAATACTGGGCCGATTTCAATGATTTTTATTTTATGTGAATATACAGTGACCCAAATATGAAACGGGACGCGACATTTGAGCTTATTATTTTTCTTTAAAAGTAAAACTGATTACTTACAAACACTATCTAATCCAAATTTCATATTTTATGCAAAAATTATGAAAATTCTGCATTTTTTTGTAATTTAAAATTTTAGTATAGTAAAGTGCAAATTTAAGGTAGCTGGCACTTACCGTTGATTATTGACAATTTTTTGTTCACGGTGTTCCGCATTTTTCTCCGTATAAAAATTTTTAGAACATACTATGTATTGTACGTAAAAAAAAAAAAAAAATACAAAAATCAACGGCAAGTCCTAGCTACTTAAATTTTTCACCATATTGTACTAAATATTAATGGACTACAAAACTGCATACATACCATTTTGTAAATAAGCTGATTAAAAAGTTAAAAGTTGGTGAAATTTTTACACAAAGTCTGAAATGGATACTTATATAGTTTTTGATGAGTAATCAGCTATATTTTCATAAATAAATAATAAACATTATAAATACATCATAATAATCATACATCATAAATAAATAAAAATAGCCAACACTTGCTAAAATCTCGCGTCCCATTTTATATTGGGGTCACTGTGTTTTTTCCAAAAAAGGACGTAGCGAGGACTTTATTTATACAACTTTTGTTATGGTTGGCTTAAATTTATGTGCAAAGTTTTATTTGCAACACTTAGATAATAACGAATGAGAATAAAAGAGCACGAATATCGATGTGAAGCAAATAATGGTGGCAACATACTTTATTGTTGCTTATTATTGCTGAGACAGGCATGTGAGAGAGTGAGTAGGACATTAGAAACAGGAGTTTCGAATATATAAGTATATATCAACATACAATTAAATAGTAGGATTATTAAGAACGTAAAAAGCGACCGGCAGATTAAAATTTGTCTAATTTCAAAAAAAAAGCTATGCAACTAATTTTTTACAACAACTGATTAAATAAGCTATTAAATAAACTGTTAAACTGCATAAATAAAAATTCCCCTCTCTTATATGTATCATTGGCAACACTATATAAATATTTCTATGAGAGTAACTGGATTTCCCTACGTTCCGCTCCACTCACGTTTGAGAAAAAGTTGAGAACTCAGCATTTCTCAATTTGAAAATAAAGGAAAATTTCATATTAAATCTGTGCCTTTTAGTTTGAGAACGCTACCAACGGTAATTTGAGGTACATTTAAGAATTAACGTTTGAGATTTGAGAAAAGGACTGATTCTCAAATGCATCTCAAATTGAGATTTAACAAAAATGTTTATTGGGTATGTTCTGCGTAGCATTGCTTTTGTTTCGCCTTCTTACTTTGAAAAAATCGCCCAATTGATTAGGCTTTTTATTGTTAATTTTAATTGCAGCCGCAGTAGCTGTTGTTACTTTATTACTTAGTTCAAGCACTTTGCGATAAGCGGTGGTGCTAACACCTACATACATATGTACACACATACTACATATCATCTAATCCAATCGGTCGATGTCGTCGTAAGTTGAGGGCTCGAAACTTTTCGCTCAAGTTCATAACAAGTACATTAGGGTGAACCTGAAAACTGAAATCTTTAAAACTTATGATTTGTTATATTCTTTCACTTTGGAGACCATCACTTACTTATATGGTAGACAGACGGAGAAAATTAATTTGAACTAATAAGCATAAAGGCAAATTAAAATTTTACCCTTACAGACGGCAGTAATGCGAATAAACCAGTATATATTTTTTATTTCTTTTTCATTTTTTTTTTATAAGTTCTATATTTTTTTTACGTTACTTTCAGTTAGTTGTTGTTGATTTTTTAACAAAATTCATCTCTAAAAATTAAAATTAACTAATAGTAAAATAAGAAATGTGATATAAAATAAAGCAAATGAAAATAAAAAAAAGTAAAATTAAATATATAAATAAAATAAAATAAATAATAAAAACAAAAAATTTTTCGCAATCGCTCCAACCGAGTATCGAACCTGGCAGCTACAGGCTTGTAGCTTGCAACTCTCACCACTCGGCTACCGCGTACGCGAAACTCGGCTGCTTCGTTTGCTTACTTGTACAAAAGACAACAACTGGCCGTTTTTACCAGTGTTGTCATCGAAAATTCCCCGGATCCGAGTTAATTCCCAAAAATTTCGTGCATTTGTTCGGCTGCTTATGCTCATTTTAAAGAGGAAAATGCATGAGTTAAAGCAAATTAAGGCTGGTTATGCAAATAATCGAGCCCGTTTGTCTACCGTATAAGGCTGGTTATGCAAATAATCGAGCCCGTTTGTCTACCGTATTAGGCCCTTTGTCAAGTGCATTTAATTTATAAAACGCGTTGTTCTAAAATGGGATATCCTACAGACTTTCTCACTATCTTCTAGAATCTAGATGACTGCTGCCGTAAATCCTATTACAGGGTAGTCTTATTTTTGCGGCATTTTTGACAAGGGGCGGTTCCCGTGATGGTTGCTACAATTTTGAGCACTTTTGTCCTTGATCGGTTAAGCACGCTCAAGGTCTTTCCACTTGTTAAAATGAGGCTAAAGTACTCTTGATATCCCAAGTTTGTGTACATGACGACCTGGGTTTGTTAGGCCAAAGAAAAGCAAGAGAGCAATCCAGTACCATCACTTCGGATTCACTCAAACACCCCAATCTTCGGCGGCGGTACGTAATGAACAGGTAATGTACTTGTACTGCGGTTGTTTTTGTAGCGGCTACTCAACCCCGCCTACATCTCTATAGTTGCCGTCAAGCTCAACTAATGGGAGACCCAGGAAGCGTGCATCTGCAATTGGAACATAGGAACAGAGGCGTTAGCTGAGTGGAGTTAAGGGGCCATGTGAAGAGATGTCTGGAACCGTGGGGTGTCTCTCCGCATGCCGTGCACATCTATATCTAATCTGATCAGGTACAAGTTGAACCTGTTGCAGTAGCCAGAGAGAAGATGAGCTATTGCGGTTCAAGTCTACCGTGCCAGACGGAGCTCTGTTTTTTCCACGGTAGGTGGTTGTGTTTCCAAAACAGCATTCACAGGTCGAGATTCAGTGTAGTTCGACACTGACTGACTGTCTAATTCAAAGGTTGCTTTATGAACCTCTGGACTTCGTTAATTAGTTCGTATACTGTAGATGCCATCTGATGTGCCTTGTCGAGGGCTGCTCCGCAAACAAATGTCTATTCCGGCGCCCATATCGGCGACATCAGAAGGCATCCGGTCGCTGTCCGGAGTGCCGTGTTTTGGCAAGTATGTATCTTCGTCCACTGCATCCTACTAGTCCCCGGCGATCACATAGGCGCAGCGCAGTTTAGAATCGCCTGGCCAATTGCCTTATATATGGTCAGGAACGTTTCTTTGTCTTTGCCCCTGGTCAGTGTTGTCAGTTAAACGTATTTCTCCCTAGATTTAGGGTTGTTCTGTGCCATTAGGAATAAAATATTTTTAAGGATTTTTTTCAAATATCAAAATTTTGTTTATTTTTTGTCCTCTGACGAATCAACAGGTAATTTCTTATAGTAAACTAATAAAG